CGGTAAACAGCTTATTTTATAGTATTTAAAAACTTCTGTATTTTTGTTTAAAAAACTTCTGATTTTTGGTTTAAAAACTTCTGTTTTTTTGTTCAGAGTGATGTTTTTACTGAACCACACAAGAGCCAACAACCGGAAATAAATCCAGTACAGCCTTTTTTTCAAGAACCTCAATCAATAATAGTGTCAGTTGTTGTATCATTTGAGGCAGAGACAATTCCGGCTCAGGTTGAAGAAAATCTTGAACAGATTGCGTTGACGCCCGGTGGTTTAGTTACCCCTATAATTAACAAGGGAATGCAAAGCAATCCAATAGTGATCACTAGCCAGAGCACCAATTTCATTGTTGAGAGCTATGCGGTAGTGATAAAAAAAAATAACCCCTTTATATTTTAACTTTTTAGTTAGTGTTTATAATTTATTTTTTTATTCTGCAGCCTCGTATTGCGGCATCTTACATAGAATATCCTGATAGATCATTAGTACCACATGAGATGCAAGATGTTATCGATGACTGAAGATTTTATCCTGGTATATCATTGCTAAAGGTTTGTACGGATCATAGCAGTTATTGGTCAAACTCAAAGAAGATTAAAACTAAAGATTTATCTTGAAATGAGAACCATGCAGTCATCGTGTATTAAAACTGAAATTTTTATCTTGAAATGAAAGGTTTGTACGGATAATAGCAGCTATATGTTACAGATTATGTGTTACTATTTGTTTTATTATTATGATATTCTCGTGTTACTGTTATGTTAATGTTGTGTTATCGTGTGTTATGAATGTGTTATCATTGTGTTATAATTGTGTTATGTTTGTGTTACACCAATAACACAACTATAACACAACAATAACACAATAATAACACACTAAAACACACTATAACACATCTATAACACAATTATAATAACATAACACAACAACAATACAAAATAACACATTTATAACACCATTATATCAACATAACACAATAATAACACACAATAACACATTTCTAACACACAATAACACATCTATAACACACAATAACACAACTATAACACAATTATAACACACAATAACACATTATAACACATTAATAATGCATCTCTAAATAACATAACACAACAATAACACAAAATAACACACAATATCACACAATAATACGACTATAACACCACTATAATACTACAATAACACGACTAAAACTTCAACTTTTATTTTTAAAATAAATAATGTAGTTACCTCAACGACGGGAGACCGCTAGGTTCTTCTTCGGCTCCCTTGCGGCCTTCCATTTTGTGTGCTACAATGAGAAAGAAAATAAATCGCTAGTCGTTGCAATCAAACGACTAAGCACTAATATTTGGAATGAGTATTTCGTAACCTACCTTTCGTTTCCAAGAGTTGAAACCGAATGGAGTACCACCACCAGCCGTCCGAATGGAGAACCACTGTCGCCGAAGACAAACTGCCGTCCGAAGTGCCGAAGAAAGCCGGAAAAACTGAAGAAGGAAGAGGCCCGAAGCCGAAGGAGGAAGAAGTCGAATGTCGAAGAAGGAAGAAGTCGAATGTCGAAGAAGGAAAGGCTCCAAAAACGCCGAATCTAACATAAAGTAAGTTTTTGTCTATTTCGGGATTTAATTCGAGTCGGGTTCACGATAAACGCACCTATTAAATTTTCTGTGTTGATTCGGGTCGGGTCAAGCTTTTTTTTTAGTTTTTATATGTTGCGGGACCCAATTACACTTATACTCCACTCATTAGACTCCTCAAGCAACTCACCCTGCAGAAACCTGAGGCAATAAAAAGCTCAAAACACTTCTCATTCTGACATATGATAATAAGAGAGCAAACATATCAAAGTAGAGACTGACTCGATTCAATTTCTACAGATGAGAAATCACAATAAAGAGAAGGATCAGAAATCAATTAATCCTTGAAATGTCATCATAATCAACAAATCTACTCAAATGGACATCAAACTCAACTGGATCATAGATTCTTACACTATGTACCAGGATGAAGTGATCTCCCTCCTCGCCACTTGATGGGGAAACATAACCATGAACTTGCATCGCATAAGAGTGATACATGAGCTGCCGCCGAACAAGTTTCTTCAAAACCTTCAGACAAAATACAGGAAAATGTACGCGTCAAACGTCTCGTTTGGCTTTCGCCGGCATGTGAAAACAAAAACTCTTAACAAGCTCCCCACCTCCAATGCTCGTCTACCTCGCCGCTTCGCTTGTACACTAGTTAGATCTCGAAGCACCACCCTCGAGTTGTACAACGGGCTGCACAGTTCTCAAAATCCCAACAATTCGGAAAATTTTACTTGCGATCTTCTAAGGAGAAGCCAACCAAGCTAAGCACAAACTCCACTCACCTATTGGAATCCCTAACCGTGGCCTCAAAGATCACCTCGTCCCTCTACAAAATATGCAAACATATATGAATCGAATCCATCCGCTTTCCAAAGCCAATAAACCCAACCCTAAACCTTAACGAGACAGGAACGCACTCTGCCTTGGAGGCCGACGCTTACACGATCGCATAAGGCAAAATCCGACATCCTGAACTTTCGGACGGGGCCCAAATCCCCATCAGGAAAGGTTAACTCAGCGGCTCGATCGCACCGCTGAGAATTTTTCTCCGGAGCCGTCATCCCAGTGGAGCAACTGGGTCTCCATCTGATGGAGGGAGAAAACGAAAGAGAGGAGGCACAGAGAGGCATGGTGGGTGGCGGCGCGACGGAGTTTCAGAGGAGGAGGAAGGAGAAGGGCTGCTGTTATAGGGAGGAGGGAGTGGGGAGATTGCGTGCGGGCGGGTGCCGGAAGCATTCCTCCATGAGTTCCTTGTGAGTTGGCCTCACTCTCCCTTGGGAGAAGTCTAAGCCACGGAAAAATAGATTTAAGGCCAGAAAGGGACGAGCAAAGTAACATGAGCAAATCGATTGATATAGGCAGGGGTTCTTTAATGAAAAAAAGTATTATGTTTGAATAAGATAGGTAGGAGATACTAATAGATGTCAAATTTGATGATATTTAATAAAATTTAGGGCTAATTTAGATAGGGTCTATTGGGTAATTATTCTCTTAAAATTAGATTTTTTACTTATATAAGAGGATAATTTGATTTTTTTTTGCTCTTGAAATATCAGTTTTGTCTCTCCTAAAAAAACCTTTTTGCCCTTCGTTGTCTAATCACTCCCACGTTGGGTGTATGTATAGTTTGACTCCCATAAAAACAATGACCGATTCCGCCCATGATAATATTGTGACAATAGTATAGTGATGTACTATCAAATATCAATAAATATCATCAATTTCTATGAATTAATTTAACCCTTTTTTGGGGCAGCTTATTTGGTGCGATGCGGTTTGAAAACGCACCCAGGCTAGTTTCGGTAAACTGTGTTTTGATAGTTTTTTTCGAAAAAACTGTGTTTTCAAACCCCTGAAATCAGTATTTTCATATTATTTCTGGCTAAGTGTGGTGACAACTTTCTAATTGGAGCAGCTTTCTAATTAGATTATCAGTTTTTACTACCCCAAATATACCCTAACATTCACTCAATTGGTGTTTCTTTTCTTTTTCGCACTTATTGTTGCTAACAAAATATCAGCAGGAGGCTGATGCTTTCAAAGCTTACAATCTGACTTGTATAGATATGACAGGCTTAGATTTTTATGGAATTAAACTAAATTATATTTCAAAATCAATCACATGTTTTTTTTAATTTTTCTCTAATTATAAATTTATAGCAGACACACAAATAAAATAAGGAATTGGGATATTCATATGATTTTTTGAACTACCTACCAGCAAATTTATGAGTGTCATGATCAAATAAATTAAAGTTTTGATTGAAAAAATGAATTTAAAAAATGTACAAGTAAATCAAATAATATGAACAAATTATAACTGTACATAGCTCAAGAACAAAATGAATTACATGCTAAAATATTAAGAGGCTATTTGTAGTGCTGCAAATGGGTTTGATATTTCAAGTGTATGGGTTTTTAAATTTTGGATATCTAGGTTGAGAAAAAAAAATGAATTATTACTTGTAATGAATTTTAAATAAGATTTTTAGTTTATTTTCAATGTATTTAAAGTTATAAAATTGAGGTGATTTTCAATTATATTGCAAAATACAGTTATTTGTGGCAACATTTCTAACCATTACAGTCATTGTAGCCACCACAACCACCTCTTGAGACGTCATTGACTATTATCGACTAACTAATTGTTGTTGCCTCCCACTGTCCTCTTGCCACAAACCGCCAACTAATGTCAACAACTAACGATTAGTCACCACTGATCATAGCTGTAAATCACCACCATT